TTTTGCCGTATGAGTATACGTTGCCCAGGGTGCACCACGTGGAGGTAAGTCTATCGCACACCCCGTGTCTTCGATATATCCGTTCAGATTGTGTTTTAATATTTAATTAATTATGATGGCATGCTCGTGATGTATCGCATAGCTGTGTTTATACGTTTAGATTACCGAAATCTGTGAAATAAAAAGACTGCTAAATGCGCACTGTTTTTTTTCAAATTTTCGATCTGATATCTTTTATCAACAAATGAACCGGTAATTGGCTCTCCAACACTCGAGCATGAACCATTTAAATTATAGTATCGGTATCTTACATTAGTAATTACTGGGACTCAAGTAAAGAGAGATCTGGATAAACTGCCTATACTAAATCGGCTGATTTTCTTTTTTAAAAAAAATATATCCATTTAATGATTGATTAATATTGCAACTCGAATAAAATGTTATCGATTTTCTCTAATACCTTTTTTTGTTTGTTTTTTTTTCTAGAAGGAAACTTTGATGACTCCTCGTTCTGGCTTCAAGATAAAGAAAGTAAGTGGTTCAGTTTTCCAAAGTTTTGCCTCGATCGTTCAAACATCTCTTGCTACTCACAAATAAGGGACAGGTTTAGAGAATAGAAATCAAACTTAGTAATTGGTTGAGGACACACATGCTTGTCATCGCGATAATTAGTGATAACTTGATTACTTCTGCAACATGCAGAGTAATTGGGTTGTACTTCAATAACTCTTAACCAAAATTCCTGCAACTTTTGCTAGGTCCAGCCTAGCTGACTAATTATCATAGAAGCATGTTATAAACAAGGAAGTATGAAATCTAAAGGATTTGTGGGAGTATGAAAGTTGGAAAGATGTTGCATAAAACACAAATAGGGTGTAGGGATAAATGTAGACAACCACAATGGTTATTAGCGTCTAGTGCATCATGGAAGCATAGTTGAATGCGCTTTGCACCCAACGAATATCCACGTTGATATGCCAACCATCAAGTTCTTCTTACTTGAATGTCAAGGTTACTAGTTTAGTCTCAACCAAATCCAATGAAATAAGCTTTTGTTTTCAATGAGTATATATTTCCTTTAGACATCCTATCTCGTCGCCAGCGTTCAATTAACGCAATCAATTCCATGGAAGGACCCATTAAAAGTGAGGACTTCACCTTTTTTATTTATTTATTTATTATTATTATTATATTATTTTTAATATCTGCTATTTTTTCAAAAGTTTAACCTAATTCTCAACGCATTCATTTAACAACACTAGTTGAGCTTTATAAGGTGATGTAGTTCTCTCTCACTCAGCGTTACCTTAACATCTTAATTTTCTCGCATATGGGGGCGGGGGGGGGGCAGATGTCAATCAAAAGAGATGTCATTAAATGTTGCCCTTGTCCCTGGGTAGTTGTATATGTTGGGGAAAAATATGGATAATTTTGTACCCAAAGCGGCTTAGAACTTTATTGCTTAATTGTTGAGGTGACACCTGCCTGTTTTAAGAAGTTAATAAGGCTACAGCAATATATTATTGATTTTTTGAAGCATCTTTTTGTCGATTGGTCTAACATTAGTGCAAAGTCATCTGCCATCGAGTAATTATGAAAGCAATATCCGTCTAGTTAATTTTAGAGAACAGCAATTGTGTCCGTCAACAATTTATTGATTAGGCGTCTCAACGCAGGTGAAGTGGCGAAGAAAAATCGATATTGTACTTGTGAGCTTTGAATGTAGAGGGTTGAGGGGGTTGGTTTATTTTTACCAAGCTTTGGGATGTTTGAAATAACTTTGTTGGGTACGCAGAGGTTTGCCCTTCAGATTAAGTCGAGAAGGTGCTTTTCTCTACACAGTTCGATAGTTTGCAGTTTCCTGTGTACTCACCACTAGATCCAACTAAATTACCCTGAAATTCTGTTAATGTGACTTACTATAGCCTGAAAGATAGGATTGTTCCGAAGTTAGCTAAGTTTCCTTACTCAAATGGAGTACTAGCATTACTGTGATAATGCCTATTATTATCGTTACTGAATTCGTTAGTGTCGCATTGGTCATCGTGCTCGTATGTCGTGTCAGATCCCATGGATTTGATTCTCATTAGCGCCAATTATGGAAGCGAAATAACCAACCCCACTGTCTAAGTCTGACCAATAACGAGGTTAGCAGAAATCGAGTCTATAGTTTATATTTAAACATTGGGACACATCTGAACTCGAGGTTCAATATAATGGCTTTGCCACGGGTAGAGCAGAGACTGATAGTACAATTCGGAGGAGTAATGCTTACTTTGAATTTTGAGGTTTTTTTAATTTGTCATACTCTATTATTCATAATTCGAATTTCAGAAAATGCTCCTTAACAAATCTTCAGGAGTAAGGTCAAATCAACCGTAATGATTTATAAGTCAGGCATTTATTTATTTCCTTCTTTTAGTTCCATCTGGCTGCATTCAAATCGACGAGGTATTGGACACCGCGGTGCCAAATACTCAGAAGCATGCACTCTCCAAGATGCAAATTCTTAAGTGTTGAGGTGTTAGCATTGCACGTTTTAACCCTTCTCAACAAGACAATCCACTCACCTATTTGAAATAACCGTCGCGTTTTTGTCACCCCTCCTTTTTCATTGCATCCATCAACGCACACTCTATATGCCTTCTTTCCTAATCAACTTTCCATATTGTCATTGTTGCTGCAGTGACAAAGTTTACTTAATATCATACCTGACCCCTTTTCTTTTCTTCCATTTGACTCTTTCTTTGATAATATTACATTCGCATTCTTTGCTAACCGAATCCATAAAATAAAATGAACGTAGTTTTAATGGTTAATTCCAGTCATACTTCACAAATGCTTTTACGAAACATCTAGATGAAGCTGTTCAGGCGTCACTCATCCAGGCGGGATTAGTTTTGTAAGCCGACTGCTTCAGGCTTGGAGGTACACCCGACCCCCCCCCCCCCCTATTTGACTCCAATGTTCCTGAAGGCTTATGGCATTCAACAACCCCTACCAAATCAAAAGAATGAAAGTGGAGATGAATCAGTAGTAGTAGTAGTAGAACAAAGGAATTTGTCAGAGGTGGGGGCACTTACACACATGACTTGTGTGTGTGAGTTCTTTTCGTTTCCTTTGTGAGTCGTTTTGTGACTGTTTTGACCAGGTCATCATGCACTTTGCTGTACGTTAAAGTTTCGACGTTGTGCGAGAAGGTATCCTCAAGCCGATCAAATAAGAAAGTACAATTTCTACCTCTTGATAATGAGAATAAGCCAGTGCATTTTATTCTGCTATTACTGAAGTAGAAGGGCGCCCTACTCGTAGCTTGGCACTTTTCAACATCGATTTTTATTTAGGTAGGAATTCGACCGAAAAGAATCCGGTGAAATCTAGGTCGAAATCAGATTCTACTTAAACGTGTTGTGACATTAAAGGTGGATTTAGTAATTTACAATGGCTGTGAGTACAGAACAAAGACAGTTTGTTCTGGCTCAGTGGTGTACATTTAAGGTCTTCAAATAACAATTTTAGGGATAATTAATGACAGTTTCGACGGATTTCTCATTCATACTAAATTTCTTATTTCATCAATTAATCCGTAAGGTCTGAAGCTTGGTCTGTATTTGCCGTCTAATCCAAACGAATTTCAGATAACTACAATCCACTTAATCCAGAAACAGTATTTCTAACACTCGAATTCTCATACCTTCATTGTAAGAAAGGCGCATGGACTTTCCACTCTATTTATGTGCACTCGTATTTATTGTACCCGTGATATCTAACTTCGAGAGTAAGTACTGTAGCGCTGACGAAAGTCGATCGATACATAGAAAATAAAGCTAACTTGATCATTTTAGAGAATTAATTCAATATCAGGTGCCAAGAGAAACCATATTCGTTTAAATTTATTTCTGCTTTGATATTATTTTATCATATTGGGATTCATTCAACACGACCCCGATGATACCTTAATTATTATCATTGTCACATGTAAGAAAATAATAATTTAAGCAAAAAATCAAAACTTTTGCTTAAAATTTTCATCCCACCATTGGATTTTAGGTTCAAAATTCAGATTTACTCAAACGAATTTAATTGCCATAACGTAAACCGACTGGTCGATACGAAAGATTGCTTGCCATTTTAACTTGGTGGTTTGGTTGGCCATATTTATTCGAATAATTTTAATAGTTATAGTTATTTGATTCTAAATTTATTGAGCCATTACACTACTTGTCAAATTTATTTTTAACAAAATATTTCAATTGTGAATGATCACAATAAATTTCTATAAATTTCAATAAATTATATTACTTACTGCTAGTGCAAGGTATACTTTATCTAAATACACTTAGCAGTGAGACTAATAATCTATTGGAATATTACTAAATTAGTGTCATAAAGGAGTCAAAATAATATTTTGGAGTATTTAAACAACCCGTTTCGTATCTTGGACTAACCTTGAGCCTTAAAGCCGCATCAATTAATTTTCTTCTACTCGCTTCAGAATTCCTAAGATGGATGTGAGCTTTACTTTTTTCTCTCTAGTTTTTAAAGCTGACCTGATTCATTTCCAATAATTCAATCCTATTATATGCTTTTGTGTGTCAAAATTTTAAATACAATAATATTGGTTATCTGAAAATAATGTTTTACAAAATTTTTCGTCGTCTGTGGATTCAGCAATATGGGACGCATTAGTATCCGATTTTAGGATCAATTTTGTTAAACTTTATACCCAGGCCTTTTGTTTATTTTGCCTAGAATACTTCCTTGCACTCTGGTTATAACACCCCACTTCTACGATATTGGCAATCTGCCTCCTGTACCGTTACAAAAGATAACCTGATCTACCCCATTTTTGTAAGGTAATTAATATGCGTAATTAATCGAATTATATGTTATAATTTTTTCAAAGCTTAAAATTTAATTTCCTTTACAGCTCAGACGATGATGCTGATAACGCAATTCCTGGTCTTCCAGACCAAAAACACATTGGCCTGAACAATCTCGTTAAAAATCTCCAACCACTGGTTGAGAAAGGACTTAAATGCGTGCTTATTTTCGGAGTTGTTGAGGACTGCGTGAAGGATGAGAGGGGTTCAGCTGCTGACTATGGTAGGAGTCCCGTTATTGGAGCACTGAAACTCCTCCGGGCCCAATTGCCCTCGCTCATTCTTGCCTGTGATGTTTGTCTGTGCACTTACACGAATTCGCATCATTGCTGTGCGTTCAATTTGCTTATCACCATTTTTTTCGTACTTTTAATTATTGTCCATTAATATATTTCACCCTTCTTTCTAGATATTCCAAATGCTCACGGTGAAATGGATGTGGAAAGAACTGTCAATAGATTGGCTGAAATTTCACTAAATTACGCTAAAGCAGGTTACTACAATTTTACTTCAAAATTTAATAGTTTTCGCACTGATTTATTCAATTTATTTTTCTCTTAATTTATTCATGGCTTTTCCAAAAAAAACACATTTTTACCTTTGATTTGTGAATTTGATCCATTGAAGTTGGCATGAATTTTGAACTTCTCATTTCATTTAGAAATCTTCTAAATCTGCACAATTTACTTTTCTCTTATTCATAGAGTATTTATCCTTAGATTTTTTATTAGTCCTTTAAATAATCTTTTCATTAGTTCATGCAAGTTCTAACTCTGGAATTTAAAACTTGTCTGATAGATAACTAGGATATAATTTTGAATTGAGGTCTAACTAAATAGTCATCAAGTCATTCTGACATCTGGATATCCCAAGAATTTTGAAATTTAATTAATTAATTATTAAACCTGTATTTAGGGGCTCATGTTATTGCCCCATCGGATATGTCTGAAGGTAGGATTTTGGCCATCAAACAAATTCTCCAAAAGAGTGGCTTCTCACGCACTGTCTCCGTCATGTCCTACGCTGCCAAATTTGCCTCCAGTTTCTACGGCCCATTCAGGTGAGTCAGGTTTATTCAACGCTTTTAAAGATATTTGAACGGATAGACAACTTTAATGGAAGCTGAAATGGTTTAGCAAAGGGCATTATAACTATCTTGTTTTTTTGAATAGATGGACACTATCTCATCGTCTTGTGAGATAAATAATATGCACTTTTAATTCCCCTTTTTAACGCAAAAGTTTTTCCAAATTTTAATAATCCCAATGGCTAGATTTGCTAGTTTGGTGTAGTTCCAATAATTACCTAAACTACCCCAGCGAGGTAAAAGAACCAAGTTTATTTGGACTATGTGTCACTGACAGGGAGGAGGCTTAGTCACTAAATATCACCTCGGCTCTAATGACCTTACTATGTCTACTGATTGTTGATTGGCTAAAAGGACATTGCCCTCCTGTGACCTTATTTTCTCCCTTGCTCCAGAATGTTATTGTTGTGGTCCCCGCAACATCGGAACACATTTGCAGTTGAAGTTCGCACATTCGGCAATTGATATCTTTGTCCAAACGTTCTACTAAGTGCATATTTGTTTTTTTGTTGCCAATTAATGTTAAAAATTCGTCCGAATTTAAGGATATTGCAATAACTTAATCGCTATTTTCTGCAATCTAAAAGTAGATTGTGTTCATCAGAAAGTGTCTGGAAAGTCTCGTCTTTCTTCACTGAAAGTTTACGCAATTCATGAATGGAACATTAGCACTTATATCTAATCGTGTTATCTTTACAAGAAGATTGTCAGCTTTAAAAGCAGTTATTAATTTTCAGTAGGGTTGGCGGTAATTACCTTTGATTGGCATCTCTAGGTTCCTTCTTAAAATCGATTTATCACTCGTAGCACGAAAAGCAACAAAAAATGTCGTGAGAAAGCATCTGAACCAAAGTCGAAGGGGTATTTATAGCTAAAATCCGGGACACCTTTATATTTATATTAATGGGGTGTGCGATAGACTTACCTCCACGTGGTGCACCCTGGGCAACGTATAATCATACGGCAAAAAAGTCTTTTAATCGGCAGTTGACTTCTGGCTTCAAACTACATCACCCCCACTCACCTCACCTTTGTTCTACCTTTGTATTCGTCTCTTACATCTTTGAAACACTCCTTTCTTCCCCCTCTCGACTTTTTTCAAGTTGATGTTCCTTCCCCTCTGTGAAGCCTGAAGGCAACTAAAGGGCTAATGATAACCATCAAGATGCCTGCCATTTGATACAAATAAATAAATATTTATATTAAATGAGCGAATGCTTCTTCTTGTATACCACTATGTGTGAAGGGAGTTTTTTATGAATATTAATTAGTTGATTTCGGGCTTCACAGAGGGCAGGAGGAACATCAAAGTGACAAAAAGTCGAGAGGGGGGGACAGAATAATGATTCACAGATGTAAAAGGGACAGAGGCAGATACAAAGGCAGAGAAAAAGGAGAGGTGAGTACTGTGGAAGCGGTGGACTCTGACATACATTGGGGGTAATGGTAGTTTGAAGCCAGTAGTCAACTGCCGGTTCATAGACTTTTGGCCGTATGAGTACACGTTGCCCAGGGTGCACCACGTGGTGGTAAGTCTATCGCACAACCCGAATATTAATTGTAGATGCACTAAAGTGTTGACGGTGTGTTAATTTAACCGTGATGAATGAGGATTGATTTTACGAACGGAAAAATGGTTGATAAAATGCATAAATATTAATTTGAAACCATTATTATTGTAGTAAAGCGCCAGTTTTCACATATAAGCTAACCGATAAGCAAAATTGTTTTATCAATTTTTCGACTTTCTTAGGTAGCCTTGAGGATTGTTACTAATAATCTAGTTTCATGCTTAGCGGAACCTTTTGAACTGATGAATTATACTATTTCATGGGATCTGTTTAGAATAGCAAGAAGTTGTCTACCTCAGGACAACCGCGCATTTGTACGATTCGATAAGCATACTAAGTGGTCATTTGATTAACCATTAATTTATTTATTTCGAATGGTAGGCATTTGGATGGTTATCATTAGCCCTTAGCTGACTCCGAACTTCACAGAGGGGAAAAACATCAAAGTTCAAGAGGGTGGACTGAAGTGTGATTTGCAGATGTAAAAGAGACAGACACAATGATGGAGAGTAGGGTAAGGTGAATACTGTAGAAGTGGTCAACTATGACATACAGTTGGGTCTTGGTAGTTTGAAGTCAACTGCCAGGTAATAGCCTTTTTTACCGTATGAGTATACGTTGCCCAGGGTGCACCACGTGGAGGTAAGTCTATCGCACACCCCATTTGATTAACCATTAATGGTGACTCCTAAATTTAATTTCGCCAGGGAAAATTCCTCTTCCTTTTTGTACTTTTGTTTCCCCTCCACGCCCAATACATTATAATTGTGTTTTCTAATATTTACAACTTTTAAATAACTCAATTTAAAGGAAGTGGGAGGGGGGGGGGTGGTGGGCATCCCACGTTGCAAGTGACTAACCAATTAGCAATATATATATATATATATATATATATTTTATAGAGTGGCAGCTGGTTCTGGAGATGGACACACCGATCGAAAATCCTATCAACTGCCCCCAGGAGCGGCTGGTCTTGCTGTTCGCACTGCTGTGAGGATTAGTGCTTTAACCCCCCCCCCCCCCAACAAAGTGGCTTGCCCCCATTAGGGGTGAAAGGTGGGGTGTGGGTTGTTTTATTTTTTTNCCCCCCCCCCCCCCCAAGCAATGTCTTTGCCTCACTTAGGCTTAAATGTGTGTGTGTGTGTGTTGTTAATTATTCTAGATTCGTGATGCCAATGAGGGCGCCGACATAATTATGGTCAAACCCGGTCTTGTCTATCTCGATGTGATTGCAAGTATTCGACGTGAAGTAAGACTTTCATTCTTTACTGCTTGCTCTATTTGCAATGAAAATTTTGTTTTTTGTTCTGTCATTAGAAAACGAGGTATCTCCCATGTAGGTATTCAAATTCTGTTGCTCAATAAAGTTTATAATAAATATTGTATAATGTATCCACGTAGTTTTATTGGATTATTAATGCAGTTTAAATATGCGAAATTTATTTGTTTAAGTGCATATGAATGCGAGGGTAAGAGACTGCAAGGTTTGCTTACAAAAGTACTCAATCGACTCCTGTTTCTTTATGGGTTTCCCAAAGGCGATTTATCGTAATAGTCGTGTCTTCGTCATTGAGATCATATATTGTTTTAATAATTTTCAATAGTACTCAATGATGTAATTACTCAGAATGCGTAAATCGTAAGACAAGGATGGCTTTTTTTATCATAGCTGTGCTTTGACTTGGATTGTTGAGCTCTTTCTTCTTTCTAAATGTGGGAAATATTTCTCACACATTTTTTGTAGCCTGTTTTAATTGATTTCAGCTTCCGTATCACCCTCTAGCAGTATACCACGTCTCCGGTGAGTACGCCATGCTTAAAGCCGGTGCAGATGCAGGTTTCATTGATTTAAAATCGGCAGCTCTTGAAATTCTTCTTTCCTTCCGTCGTGCTGGTATGTTTATTTAATATAACTTATTTCTTTATTTTGTACTTATTAACATGTAGCTTCGGTCCAAACTTCTTCCATTTATGTGACAAAGATGACTTTCATACTTCTTTTCTTAACATTTGTAGGTGCCTCGATTATTATTACTTACCTGACACCGTATCTCTTGGATCTCGACCTTAACGATGTGTTCAACTGATGTTAGACTAATGCACTGACGAACCATTTGACAAATAACAATGATTATATCGTGCGCTAATTTTGATACAATAAATTTTAGCTCATTTTGAGAGGTATTTATATATGTGTCCTGATTTATCTTTATAATACAAGTTGTTACTTAGAACGAAAAAAGTTGTTTAAAAGAAAATTATGTGTAAATTTACTTGATGAGTTCTTTTTTCATTAATCTGCCGTTAACATAGTTCTATTGTAAGATTTAGATTCATCTAAGCTCAGGTTGAGTCAGTTGTTCACTTCTTGAGACGTGGTACTAGACTATTCTAAACGCTGTCTTCGGATTAAGAGCTGGTCTGTAAATTAGAAATTGCTCTTTATAGATGAGATATTTAAAAATGGTTCAAAGAGCATATTCGGTTCTAATTAATCCCACGATTGAGATTGAGACGAAATAAAAATTTCCCTTTTTTCAAATTTGGCTAAATTGCAAAAGTGGTGATTGGGATTTAACATGAAAACGCTTGGTTGACCTGACAAATAACACCAATCTTTATATTTATAAATACTAGTGCCTTTCTCCTCACAAAATCAAGGCGCATTGCATAAGAGTCAGATATTTTTGTGTGGCTCAAACAGGGGTGTGAAATACAAGACAATGGGTGATGACGTGGTCTTAGTGAATACAAAATTATGAAACAAGATGCCCGCAATATTGTCCATTAAGCGAGTTAGAGTCAATTATGGCTGTTCGAATGGTCAGAGGTACAAAAATGCATTAGTGTCTCCTATATTAATATAATAGATGATGGATTTTAAAATGATACACAACATATTCAATAAAGAAGTTTTACGCTATAAAGCATAAGATCCTTGGTTTGATTCTAAATCAAACATACCTGCTATATAATAAAATAAAATACGCATTAAAATTTGGTCTATTAATCTTTAAAAATGACTATGGAGCGATATCCAACAAACATAAGATGCAAATAGCTCACTAAATTATACGGATTTACGTTAAAGTGGAATCGCATGAAATCAGATGTACTAAATTAAATAGGTCTAAACAATTAGATGCATGAAACGTAATTAAGTAAAATAACATTCTAAGTTGTTTAAATACATTCTTTTATACAAAACTTATCGTTTAATGGAACGAAAATAAAGCTTGTTTATCTACATGGAAATGTCCTTAAATTTTTTAAAATCTTGCCAGCGTTGTGTCTGTGAGTTTACGTAGATATTTATACTCGCGATATAGCGATACTCTTATTATCATTCGATCCGTATATTATTACTTATTTTCAGTTTTTCTTAATTTTACAAAATCGTTATCATTCGTTTCTAAACTTCAGAACTATGCCAAATAAAAACACGGTTGCGTCTCTAAAGGCCAGAGTAGCCAAACTTGAGGCAGAACTAGCTAAGAATCGTTCTGCTCGACCGAAAATCAACCAAATGTCTAGTGAAGTTGTTAGTTCAAACCCTTACAGTCGTCTTATGGCCCTACAGAAGATGGGTATTGTTGAGAATTATGCACAGTATGTAGTATGATGCTATTTTGGCTTCAATTTTGGCAATGTTAATCATACATTTTTTTCTTCGCAGAATTCGAAGTAAGTGCGTTGCTATTGTTGGTGTTGGTGGCGTCGGTTCCGTCGCAGCTGAAATGCTTGTTCGTTGCGGGGTCGGGAGACTTATTCTCTTCGATTATGACAAAGTTGAACTTGCAAACATGAACAGACTTTTCTTTCAGGTTATTTACGCATGAAATACTCATTTATGTGGTGTTGGGAAACAATTTTTGTGTTAAATCTTTTCTATCGTTTAGCCATATCAAGCTGGCTTAAGCAAAGTTGAGGCTGCTGCTGAAACGCTCCAAACAATAAATCCAGATGTTTCTATCGAGCCACATAACTACGATATTACTCTCGTTGATAACTTTGATTCCTTCCTCTCTACCCTCAAAGGAGATACAAATAGTAAGTCTGTCGATCTCGTGCTCTCCTGCGTGGATAACTTCGAAGCTCGGATGACCATTAATAGGGCTTGTAACGAACTAAATCAAGTAAGCACCTTGTTCACATCTCGGATTGCTTCAATTACTTAAATGTGGTAAGTAGTATTGTTATTTCCCAGGTGTGGTTTGAGGCTGGTGTCAGTGAAGACGCATTGAGCTGTCATTTTCAGCTCATGTATCCTGGACGAACTCCGTGCTTCGAATGTTTGCCGCCGCTGATTGTAGCTCAGGGTTTGAATGATACAAAGGCGCTTAAACGTGAAGGAGTTTGTGCTGCTTCCTTGCCTACCACGATGGCTATTGTAGCTGGTCTGATGGTTCAAAATGTTCTCAAATTTCTGCTGAATTTTGGCGAGGTATGACATTTTCTTTCATTTTCCCTTTGTTTCACACCGTGTTTCGTTTCTTAGTTTTTGATTTTGCAGTTCGTGGTTGTGCGTTAACTACTTGTCTATATGACTTTTTTCGTCAGCACTGTAATTAAGTTGCTTAATTTCAATTGTAGAATGTTGCTGAATACTTGCATTTAATTTCGTACTAGTGCTATCAATCAACGGTGCTTTCTTTGGGACTCAGATTTCAGCCATTTGTGAATTGGAGGAGGTGTCTTACCACTAAAGTGATGTCTTTCTTCATAAACTAAAGCAAGTGCTTCATTGATGAGCAATTTGGGTTATTAGAAAAATGGGAATACACTCATTTTACTACAATCAACTTCCTTTGATTTCCTTACTTGCATAAGGTCCTTAATTCAGCTTAAACGAAGCACCCGTTAAATTGGTATTCCTAGAAACTCATGGAAACATTTTTTGCCAGAAACATGGTAAGGCAGGGATGCAGTCTACTCTTTGATCTCATTTTAAGCCCAGTAATGGCCTCTTTTCAAGCAGTTATGCTAGTGTTCATTAAGAAATCGAGTACAGTCCTTATTTGCTTCAATTTGTTTTAGTATCAACTGGCCATTTATTAAAGCGGGTAAAGTGAGCTCTAATATTGTTTCGCTCTTTTTGTCCTCTACTTTCTAATTTGAATATTTGTTTGATTGTATTTCCACTCTCTAATAGGTGTCTGGCTATTTTGGTTACGGTGCAGCAAAGGACACAGTGTATCGCGTGAGTCTGCGTCCGAATCCTACATGTGCCGATTCATGGTGTCGGAAGCGTCAAGAGGAGCGCAGAGCCCAGTTGGTTGCTCGTGGACTTCCCGAAGATGCTCCATGGGACGCTGAGGCTCAAATGGTCGCTGCTGCAGAACGTGAGCGTCTGGCCCGTGAATCTGCCAATAAGCCTCTTCATGCAGACAACGAATTCTGCATTCAAGTGGTCGGCTCTTCTGATGGCATTGTCGCTCCTACTGCTGTAGAGCAAACCTTATCCTGCGCTGCTGCTATCAATGTAGCAGATGGTGAACAGGAGACTGACTCTGCCACCAATAACGATGATGGTCCCAGTTTAGATGAACTGATGAAACAGTTGAAGAGCCTCTAAGTTGATCTTTCTTCTTATGTATAATTTGATCTGTTTTTCCTCAGTCCCCCTCATCTGATGTCTTTCTGTTGTGTGCTTCTTCCTTTTGTATTACCAAAAGCCATTCCGGAATAAGATTGAATATATATTTTAGGTGAAAATAGCTTCTTGTGATTCGGATTATATAATACATGCTGTTGCAAAGCCGAGACTATGTTACTATGGCACAGAATCCAGTTGCGAAGGATGATAGTAACTGCTTTAAAGTTGCCTGCTTTGTGCAATTGACTATGTAGCCTTGAATTTTATATTTCTATTTAACCAGGTGCACTTGTCGCTTCGATATTACAGCATCGTTTACATTTGAATTTACTGTGAACGTCTTGGCTAACTTCTTTGGAAATTTGAGGTGAATGATGATCGACCTTTTGTGATATTAAATGCCATTCAAATAGCGGTTGCTGTGGCCTACGCTAGTGATCATTACTAATAGTACTAAGCTGCGTCAATCTTCTACCACCGTGCTAAAGGTGCTTAAAAATAGTGAATTTGTGCCACTTACACTATGGAACTATCGGTATCAATATTGGCAGTAAAGAAGGGCCTGAAAAAGTCGTTTTCCAAACCCTTTTCCATCCACCCAGGTTCCTTGATAAAATGCCTAATTCAGAACCGCTTACCGGTTCAAATTATTATCGATTCTTCAACGCAAATTGAAGTCATTTAAGGCAATGCATCCACTATGTGTACTAGGTAAATAAAAGACAAATGTTGGTATAATTTTAATCGGAGGAGCTGGTGTCACTACCAGAGCCACTTTCAGAATCACTTTCTGACGATTCACTACCACTCGATTTGTCGTCATCTGACCCTCCCTTCTTCTTACAACAGTTGCCTTCCTTGATATCTCTAAACGCCTCGACGATCGGAAGGATGTAGGGCGAATACTCGGGTTCGCCAGGTGGTGGGGGATTTTTTAGCTCCCAAATGTGATCTCGTCGAAGGGTGAAAATCTCGTCTCGAACTTGGCAGGCGGAGTTGAGGAAACAGAGGAGAGTGCAAAAGACGTCGGCAAGTAGATTGCCCTGTGGAAGAATCGAAAATGTCCTGTTAAGTGAAATTAGTACGGAGGCTGCAAATTGATTTTGTCTTTTTTTGGAAGTGCATAATTATTTTCAATACAAAGTAGAAAGTTCTGACTGCTTTCCAGATAATGGTCGCGGAAGCTTAAATTTGTATTATTCTATCGTCTAACTCTCTTCTATCCCAACTACCAGATGATAGTCATCAAGCGCATAAAGAACATAGAGTCAAAGTCTCTTATCGAACCAGCTATTTGGTCTCTTTATCATTGTCGCATTTCCACTCTTACGCAGGTGTTTACCATCCCCACCTACTTTTCGTTTCCTTTCTCACTCCTAGACTAGGTTTTCTAGAATCAGGTCCTTCTCTTTGTCCCTTCCTGTTATCCCGATTTGAACAGACTTATTTCGGATTTTCCAGGTGGGATTGGTGTTAGCTTACAGGTTTCCATTCAGAGATCACGCAATCCGTCTGAAATAAGTTTTAAAGCTTTCCATTGCTTTGAATTTAGGCAGATTAAGTTAACCACGTGATTCTCGCCACCTCTATCCCGCCAAAAACATTTCGGAGCTTGGTAAAATAATCACTTCTGCACTCACAGTGAAGAAAAAAATTGAACAATGACCTTAAAGCAAGAAATGACTTTGCTTTATTGACCGCTTATTGTTTTCCAAACACCAAGATTAACAAACACTTTCAGCGCTCTATTTACTGTTGCTTTAAGATTTATGAGAGACCATGGCAATTGAAACACCACCTAGGTGAAATCAAATTTAATGTGGGTCTCTTCAAACTATCCAACGGATTACTGATCAAAGCAAAACTTGGTGCACCAATTATTGAGAAGGGAATCGATCTTCCTGCCGGAAAAAAATTGTTGGTGGAGAGGGGGGGGGGATATGACCTTCAAAGAAGGAGCAATTCACACTGAGTGAGCCCTAGTTTGGTTTATTGTGTTAAAGATATCGTCTACAGCTTCACCTGTGCCTGTACTTGGCCATAGGAAGACGCAAATTACCAAGCACGAGGTTTAACTATACAATCAGAAGGCTTTAAATTCCATGGAACTAAACTAGCCTATGAAATCAAATCATTATGATATTGGAGAAAACACAGTCTTCTCTTCATGAACTACTTCCTGGATTCCCTCACGCTCGATTTTTTATTGTTGAAATTTGTTAAGCTTATTACATTGCCGTGTGCAAACTTTTTCATAACCTTGAAGCCAAGTGGAAGGGAGGACAGAGGACCAAGAAAATTCGGACAACCAAATTAATCATATACCCCATTACATGAAAGTTGAATTATGCTCGTAATAATTTCGATCAATGATTGTACCAACAAACAAACCTGCAATTGGTGCTTCTTCCGAAGAACGATTCTCGCAGCAATTATAATGAAAGGAGCGAATGGGGTTAGGAAGATTCCCATTACCAGAGAGGGCCACCACTGATAGCCGAAAACATAATGAAATAATTCGCACATAAAGCATGGCAATAAGGTCGGAACACAAAGACAGTTTACTAAATAAAGAGTGTTACTGAAAGTATTTGAGTAGAACTTACCACAATTCTCTTGACAGCTGCACATATAGGTACTCCATGGCCGGATAAACCCCGATGGCTTTTTGAACCTCTTTGTAATAAATTCCATCGCAAAGCGGGTTAAAATTAAACGGTTACTTTGTCATTC